GAACGGACGGTCCACGTGTATTTCTGGACCGTCCGCTCTGGCTTTCTGGTTTTTCGAAAATTAGACCGAATTAGGGTTAAATCACCTTATAAGAAGGAGATTGAAACCCTAATTAATAAAGTGACTGATGAAGTCGTCTGGTACAGAACTTTGAGAGCTCTTGGTGAGATCCAAAGAGTTCTAAGAGTTCTCAGTCTCGTTTTTTCGAAGCGCGAAACCGAATAGCAGATTCGGGTCCTACCAGACAAGTTCCAACCGTTGGAATCCATCCCGAGGTGTGGATACGTGATGAAGTCGTCTGGTACAGAACTTTGAGAGCTCTTGGTGAGATCCAAAGAGTTCTAAGAGTTCTCAGTCTCGTTTTTTCGAAGCGCGAAACCGAATAGCAGATTCGGGTCCTACCAGACAAGTTCCAACCGTTGGAATCCATCCCGAGGTGTGGATACGTGTAGAGGGCGAGGTATTCTTCCTCCCTTTCGTGATCAGGCGAGTTCTTCAATTAATACAGGCCCCGTATCGATTGAGGTAAGCGTTCTAACGTTTCTACGATTCATAAGAAGCATGGTTCTAGGGTTCCATAAATTTTTGTTTTACATCCGCTGCGCAAACCCTAGAATCGATCTCTTAAGAATAGGATTCGCTCTAGAGATCCCAGGAATCCCAACAGTGGTATCAAAGTCTCGTTGCTCTGTTTTGATTTCGTAGAACCCGATCACGCACGTTTTAGGATTTGAAATGTTTGAATCCATGTTCGCTTTGATTTCTATGCATGTTTGATTATTGAATCTATGGTAGATTGCATGTTTCATGTTGCATAGAGTGCAGAAGTTTGAATTTTGGGTCTACAGATGAATTCGGATGAGTTTCGGGTCTGATCGGGGCTGAGAAAGCGGAAGAACGTGATCTGATCACGTACCCTAGACCGTCCGTTCTGGGTATGCTAAACCGGACGATCCAGGGGTGGCGGACTGCACAGATCAGAACGGAAGGTCTGCATTGGACCGTCTGTTGTTCCGTCTGCTGGGGACCGTCCGTTCCGGCTTATCTCGGAGTGGAACGTCCGTTCTAGCTTCTGAAGTCGAGAGCGCTCGTTTTGCCAAGCCTTGAATGTCCGTTCTACACCTAGAACGGACGGTCCGAGGTCCAGATTCCAAAATTTTTTGTTTTCTAAGTCTGATTATGCAATCGTTGCTTAATCTGATCGACTGTAACTCAAATAGACATGATTCGTTCATTTGGATGGTCCATAGTGAATGAATGCATGCAACTTAATCGAGATATTAGATATGCTTGATTGAGTGGGAGCTTTGTAATTGGGATTACATAATCGAATGGATGGTCTGTTCGGATTATGTACAATCGTTGCACAGAAACCAGTTAGATCTAGGAGCTCTACGAGTAAAGCACCTGTCAAGGCCTCAATCGTATGTGTAATGGGTCATGCCAAAGCTGGGTGTGCCGTATTATCTTTGTGAGGCAAGATGGAGAAATGGTGGTCCTCATAGCTTGAAAGTAGATGCTTGATCTGAGTGTGGTTTCGAAAATCTCTTATTTATGTAATGCTAAGCGTGTACCTTCCATTACTAGAGCATCTGTCAAGACATCGATCGTCCGTAACACGGGTCATGCCAAAGCTGAGCGTGTCGGATTATCTTTGTGAGGCAGGGTGGGAAATCGTGGTTCCCACATCTTGAATATGGTTTACCTCATGTTAAGTCGTCAGGTTTGACTTGAGACTTAATGGTACAGATGAGACGAGTATACAATGATATTCGATATCATAGTCTCATAAAAGATCTAAGAATCACATTGGATGTGATTGACATTAGATGTCTACCTAAATAGCATAAGGATAATGTTGGTTTAGTGCTCTATGATGTATTGTTATGCGAGCTTTATTATGATACATTTGATGTATTGACACGTTCTATGGTTTTATGGATGGGTGTTTGATTCATTACATATTATGCATGCTTGAATATGTTCCATGTATTGTTATGAACAATACTAAACTCCCTAATCATGTATCATTGTGGGAATAATGATATACTAAGACTAGTATGATGTGTGATTGATGATCATATAGATGATCATTGGTATTGGATACGATCACAATCATAGGTATTCGTTGGAGAACGGAATACTGATTGACCCGCATGAGATTATCAAATGGACTTGCGTCATGACTTGAATCTCATATGACGGTTCCATGATTGGATCCTTAGACCTGAGATATCTACGGAATCCAACATGAGGAGTTGCGTGCTTTGAATACGTCAAACGTCCTGCGTAACAGGAGGACTATAAAGGCGTGTATCAGGTACGAAACGAATCATGTGTTGGATTGTAGATAGTCAAGACGGGATTTGTACCTCTTGTAAAAGAGAGAGATATCGCTGGGCCCCTCGTGTGAGCGAGACTGTAGAAATATGTGGCCGAACTATAGATGAACGTCGTTTATTTCAGACAGTCGAACTCAGTGAACGAGAAAGCAGTCGAATCAGATAAGGTGGCTTGTTCATGCATTATGTTCGACAAATGATATCGCGATACAAAAGGATCATCAGCCGGAATCATCACTGGCGTTCGTAAGATCACGAACAAACTCTATTCGAGATAGGTAGTTATAGTGTCTTGCTAGAGACCGCCTATGACTTGTATATCCGAAATAGAGATTTCGGATTAAACTGCTATATCGAATGAGCCTACAGGGTCACACACGCAGGAAAGGACAAAACACACGAGAAAACGACGGAAAAATCGAGACGGAAGGGGCTGGAATGGACGGACCGAAAGGGCCAGACCTGACGGTCCGCCAGGTCCAGACCCGACGGTCCACAGAAGGCAGACTGTCCGTTCTAGCTTGTCTGGAATGGACGGTCCACGTATGCAGACCATCCGTTTTGGTTTGCTGGAACGGATGGTCCACGTGTATTTCTAGACCGTCCGTTCCAGACTTCGGGTTTTTCGAAAATTAAACCGAAATTAGGGTTAAATCACCTTATAAGAAGGAGATTAAAACCCTAATTCATTGAGAGATTTTAGAGCCGTCTTTGGCAGAACTTTGAGAGCTTTTGGTGAGATCCAAAGAGTTCAAGGAGTTCAGAGTCTCGTTTTCTCGAAGCGATATACCGAATAGCAGATTCGGGTCCTAGCAGACAAGTTCCAATCGTTGGAATCCATCCTGAGGTGTGGATACGTGTAGAGGGCGAGGTAATCTTCCTACCTTGAGTGATCAAACGAACGGATCAATTGAAACAGGCCCCGGATCGATTAAAGTAAGCGTTCTAACGTTTCTACGTAAGCATGCATGCATGGTTCTAGGGTTTTATTCAAATTTTTGTTTTATATCCGCTGCGCAAACCCTAGAATTGATCTCTAAGGAATAAGATTCGCTCTAGAGATCCCAGTAAAACCCAACACTCACTTCATCTCAGACTTCTGAAGAGCAAGACGAGAATATGAAAGATGATCCTAAGCCCCATGTTCGTCAAAACCACTCAGCTGATGATGTGATTAGAAGTGTGAATGACTCAGGTAAGGAACAAACCTCGATTGAATTATCAAGATATGGCTAGGTTTGTTTGTTTCATTTCGCAGGATGGATCTACTAAGATGAACAAGATTTTGAATGATGAGTATTACCTCAAGACAATAGATGAGGAGCTTGAGCAATGTGTAAGAAATGATGTTTGGCATGAAGATGAAAGAGTCATTCACAACAAATCCAGGTTAATAGCTCAAAGGTACACTCAAGTGGAAAGTATGAATTCGATACCACTTTCTCAAAGAGCAAATTAGAGCAGTTTGTTGATTGAGTATGCACCAATTCAATGCTAATTAGCTGATATCTTTGTGAAACCACTTGAAATGAATGAGTGTTGTGTTTAAAAAAAACTTTTGATTTAGGAGAAATATGATTTTATCTCTAATGGTGTCTATTTAAAAGTGATTTGGTTCAATGACTGTGAAGGAGAGTGAGCGATACTTGACATGTATGCCAAGTACACTTCAAAAAAAAAGTGACAGGCCCATCCCCTGATACCAAAAAGAGGGAGATTGTTAGTTCAATTATTTATATATGTGGAATTTGGTTGTTTTGGTTGTTAAGTGGATAATGCAAATTCAACAAACATGAGAGATTTCAGAAGAAAAATATGGTGAGATAGAGTTTGAGAAAATCTGAGTTACATCTGAAGAGTTTTAGATAGAGTCAAAGACCTGAAAAGATAGAGTCAGAGATTTAAGAGATAGAGATAAAGATGAGATCTTAGAGATAAATGTGAAATCGAAGAAAATCAGGGAGAAGACTCTCAGATCAGTTCGTGCAGATCTAGGACGTGCAAGAGTAGTCTATATAAAGGAGACACAAGCCGTATATCAGTTCTTACGGAGAGCGAATCAAATTTTACTAAAAAGAGTTTTTCTGTTAGTGAGTAAGCACTCGTTTTTGAGTGAGCGTGTTTGAGAAAAATACCGATTGTGATAGTGAGTTGAAACTCAGAAAGAGTTTCATCTAGTTGTTGAGTAACTCTAATAAAAAGTGAGTTGTACTTGATGTTTTTATCAAGTGAATAAAACTGGTTAGTTTTTCAGTTTTATTCTTTGAAAGTCTGACTTTTTCAAGAATATTTAGAAATATTTTAAACAATTATTTATATTACTAAAAATTAATTTAGACCTTTTAATATGAAAAATATTAAATACAAAGAATTTTTTTTGGGGGGGATATACATTTGTCATGTACTAGTTTTTTTCACACTTTCTCAAATTTCTCTTAATACGATCAAATGCGGACAAACTCGGCAAACGCGGCCTTAGCTTCATACCGTGTGGGTCCATGTACCACGTGTCAAATTTTGGGCTTCGCTGCTCCTCCATTGGATAATTACGCCATTCGTCAAAAAAGTGGGGTCTGTTTAGTGGCAATTTCGTAAATTGCATCAACTTTGGTCCTCCTTTTTCTCCGGCCGACGTATAACCACTGAGCTCATTCTCTCCGTCGTTCCATTTTTTCACCCTCCGATCACTTTACCGTTGACCGAACCAGAGAGAAAATCACCGAGAAAGTGAGGGAAAGTGGCAGAGAAAATCCTAGAAAATTGATAAGGAGTCCGGGATAAACCCTGATTCGGGAGCCTGGAATAATCTTAGGTGGAGAGATAGCGATGAAGCACATTTTTAAGAAGCTTCACAAAGGTGGAAACCACGAGCAAAATCGGACGAACGAAGCAGTTCCACAGTCTCAATCTCAGTCTCCTTCGGCTGCATCCGATCAAAATCGGGTCAATGTCTCGGGAAATGCTCCGGCAAGCCCTTCCTCGGCGTCTCCTGCGGCGGAGACAATCCCGACGAGCGGCGGAGCTATTTTCGCGACTTCTCCTGCTCACGCTGGGGCAGCGAATCACGCGGATTATATATCATCGGAGGAGGAATTCCAAGTGCAACTCGCGCTTGCGATCAGTGCATCCAATTCGAATGATCCGGAGAACGATCAGATCCGAGCCGCGACGTTGTTGAGTCTAGAAGGGCGTCACCGGATGGAATCAGGGAGGGATAAGTCCGAGGCAGTGGCGGAGACGTTATCGAGACAGTACTGGGTGAGTATCTTCCATTATTCTGTATGATTGAGCTATTTTCTTTGTCGATTGAGGAGTAGTTCCTTTCTTTGGGACTATGTAATTCTATTGCCAGTCGAGGTTTAAATTATGATTTGAATTGGGCCAATGTTATTTTCTTTGGATCGAGTGCTGTGCATATGATCCTGGTTAATCGAATGGTGATGCTAACTTGCAGTGCGGCATGCTATTACTTTGTTTCCCGAGTCTTGATTATTGTGACATTGCAGTGCAAGAATGATTCTTTCATTACTATTGAACTGTCGGAAGGTGAATGGAACTTGTTATTGTAAATGGTTTCCCAAATTTAGGGCGTAATGGTTGCCGTGAGATTCTAGGTGATGTACAGGTTATTGCATAATCCTGAAACAAGTTATTGGATTCTTTCCTTGTTGATATCTACATTTAGAATGACTACTACGCCCATCATCTCATATAAATATCGATGATCCACAAATGTACTAGTTGTAGCTGCGTCACCCTGCTCTTAGGTGACACATTTGCTGAAGAAGCTTGCTTAAGAGGAATTTTCTTTGTTGTGTACTAATCCGGTCGTTGAAATGCAAAGCTGGAAAAATGCTCAAATGTCTTAGAGGTCCTTTTTTTTTCCTTTCCTGATTCTTAATCTTTCTTTGCTGATAAGCTTATGACTATGTTCTAGTGGTTTTCCATCTTTGCGTGTGTAACCTTCCACAGAAAGTGTAGTTTTGATAGTTAGTTTTCAACGGAATGTTGAAAGACCTTATAGAAATAATATAGAAGTTGTGTAGTTTAAATTAATGATTCTGGGAGGAGATTTATAAATATTTCATTTATAAGACGGTGTTTCTTACCATTAGTTGTTACTGCACCACCACAGTTTAGTGGTTTTACAAGAATTGAAATTTTATTAACTATTTTGTTCCTAGGAATACGGCGTGCTTGACTACGAGGAGAAAGTTGTGGATGATTTCTATGATGTGTATAGCCTCTCTACAGACTCTGCAAGCCATGGAAAGATGCCATCACTTGCAGATCTTGAAAGCAACCATGCGACCCCTGGCTTTGAAGCTGTAGTTGTAAATAGAACAATTGATCCATCCCTAGATGAATTGCTTCAAGTTGCCCAGTGCATTGCCTTAGACTGTCCTCCTACCGGTGTTAATTTACTAGTACAGAGGTTGGCCGAACTTGTTACAGGGCATATGGGTGGATCTGCAGAAGATTCCAGTATAGTGGTGGCAAGGTGGACAGAAAAAAGCACTGACTTCAAGGCATCACTAAATACCTGTGTCTTCCCTATTGGATTTATAAATATGGGCATATCCAGGCATCGTGCTCTACTATTCAAGGTAATTGGCTATATTTCTTCACGCCTTAAGCTTCTTCTAGGTGTGTCGGTTCTTGTCTAGCCCTGAAACCCTGGCGGTGTGAACTCCTTGGCTAATGAGTCAGCAAAAAGATGACAAGAAACGAAAATGTTTTGTGCTTTGGACGCTAAGAATACCAATTGTATACTAACCCTGGAGAACTTTTTTTATTATTATTCTTTTACAAGATACAACTTTGTCTTTTTGAATCCTGCATCGGCACAGCATAAGTGCAAATAGGATTCGTCTTTGCTTGCCTCTAGATTTTGGCTCTTTTCTGTATAAGAGCACTCTCAATAGTTGAGTTCTACCTTGTTTGAATAAGACATGCACATTTAAGTTGTCTTTATAAGCACTCTCCTTACTCTTCTCGTAGTCACTACAAATATCTTCGTCTTTCTCTGGAGATTGATGTTTGGGCAGTTTATTTCTTCCAATGTAGGTATTGGCAGATAGTATAAGGTTACCTTGTAGATTGGTTAAGGGTAACCACTACACAGGCAATGAGGATGATGCAGTGAACATGATAAAACTCGAAAATGAAAGGTTTGTGGTTTGTCCTTATCTTTAACATTTTAATATGTTTCCAATTCTTCAGATGTATAACGTATCTCCTCCTCATTGCAGAGAGTACTTAGTTGATCTAATGACAGATCCTGGGACGCTTATACCTGCTGATATTCCAAGTGCTAGGGATAACACCTTTAAGCCGTATAATTCAAAAGGAAGCAAGTTTCCTGGCCCCCAGTTATCAAATGACTTCAAGCATTCAGTGTCAAATCTGTCAGATGGCAAAGGCAGTAGTCGTGATCTTTTGTCCGATGATTACTCAGATAGGTCAGATGCTGGAAAGGCAGAATCCTCAACTCCAAAGTTGGGGACGGCTCAGAACACAGGTTTAGGCACTTCTGGAACTTCTAATGTGATGAATTCCGATCAGTCAGATAATATATCCTCGACAGCAACCGGAGCCTCTATATACAAAGGGAATCGAGCTTCCATGAATGACTGTTCAAGAACAAAAATAAATGTAGTTCCATACAACCAAAGCAATCAGGAAGACCCAAAAAACCTTTTTGCGGACCTTAACCCGTTTCAAATCAAAGGAACTAGCAATCTGTTTATGCCTACAAAATCGGGGTTGAATAAAGTTGATGATTTTCATCGGCAGAAAAATAATCCTGTGGCTGCTAGACCCCCTGCACCGAAGATGTGGAAGAATTACACTTGCAATGAAGCCCCCAAGAGAAAGGAGAATGCCTATTTGGAGAACTTTTTCCCTAAACTTAACATTGAACCTCATAATGGTAACTCTCTTTCATCATATGCTTCTTCGAGTTCTGGTGTAGCTGGTTCATCAAATGTTTCTGGTAAAGACAACACCACCATGGTGTCATCAGCTACTGCTCAGCCATTCTTCACATCCAGTGGAGATCAGTTCACATCACGTGTGGTGGAGGATGTAAACGATAACTTCAACAGTAAAACTAGCAATGCACAAGACATCCAACCTAATACTGCTTCTGTGGTACAAGAATGCCTGAATAATCAACCTCTCCTCCATGACCGTGGAAAAAAGTACACAAATGGTGACAGATCTGGTGGGCCTGGTCTGATTCTGAAGGATCCAGAAAGTTCAAGTTCATTACTTGGTTCGTTAGCCCGCAGAACTAATAATCAAATTCTTGATGACCTAGATGTCAGTGAATGCGAGATCCCATGGGAGGATCTTGTCATCGGGGAAAGAATAGGAATAGGTAATGTATATTGGTGGTGGTCTTTTGGTAGTATCTTTAGAATGTGTGAAATAGTGTCTCCTGAAAAATGTTTTTGAAAGAGCCGTGATGATTGCATCTTCTACCATTTAGCTTTCTGGAGGTGGAGGTCGTATCTTCTAATATTTTTTTGTTTTGGCTAGGTTCCTACGGGGAGGTGTACCATGCTGATTGGAATGGCACGGTTAGTTTCCTGCAGCTATTTGGCATTTCTATGGCAGCATGCTGTTCTTTGTCATCTTTTAATATACCCAGCTCCATTTAGTTGTGTGTTCACATCATTTAGGAATTGAATAGTGTCGAGAAACCGTGTCTAGAAGGATTATGTTGAATTTATGATATGAACTAGTTGAATATGGTAACCATCTGAAGGTTTAGGAATATGCTTTATTAGATGTTTGTATACTGCAATTTGGAGCACCTTGATGTTAGGTAACTCAGAAGTAGGGAAAAAGGGAAAAGAAAAATCTTCTAGGTAGATAGGCTGTTTCAGTCATTAGTCACAACTGCAGTTGGGACCTTCATCGATTCTATTCTACACTTCTGCAGTTTTAGCTGTTTGTCATTTTAGTTACCTATTTTCAGTTCCTTTTTCACCATTTTCCAATGGTGCAGGCATTGACCGTCTTTGTTTGCTCACTGAGGCATTGGCCTTCTTTGTTTGCTCACTGTTTTCCTATCTTCCTCTCATCAAAAGCTTGATGTATCATCTTTAATTTTCTGTTCCTTATGTTTTGTTTGGTTGAATTCAGGAAGTTGCTGTGAAGAAATTTTTGGATCAGGATTTTTCGGGTGCAGCTTTGGATGAGTTCAAAAGAGAAGTAAGCCTTAATTACACTTGCATGTGTACGTGCGTGATTGTTTCATCTAATGGAACTCTGAGATGCTTGGTGCCTGCAACATTAGTTACATCAAACAACTACGCCATACAATTCGCTCTAGCCCTTGTAGTGCAATTTGAAGTTTTTGTAGGGTCCATTAACTGGGAAAATAGGAAGGTAACAAGAACAGGTCATCACTAGCACTAAAATTGTCTTTAAATGTTGCTTCTCTAGTTCATTTTTTTCTGCGTGGAAAAAGGCGTAAAAATCATTTTAATGAGAACAATTCTGACGAATGCAGACTATTTCAAACAAATATTATGCTTGTGAATGAGAGAAATGGGGATTTGGGCCTAAATTGATTATGTGTTGAGATTAAGAAAAAGAAGGTTGACAGCCATTAAAAGGCTTATTTGTACCTCTATATAAGCTGATATATTTTTCGGAATAAGACATCATCGTTTTGGGATTGATCATAAGGAGAAGACGAACCTAAGGCAAATCGTCCGTCGTTCTCCGTAAATAACGGCAACAAACGTTGGATCCCATTTCGGGTTCTAACAAATTGTTTTTTAGTTCTTTTAAATTGGTAGGAAGACTGAAATACACCAGGTCGCACCTGCATCATCAACATGTGCTACTGGTCGTTCTGTCTCTTTTTCTTTCCACTCATAATTATATATTCTCTCAATTGAAGGTACGCATAATGCGGAGATTACGCCATCCAAATGTTGTTCACTTCCTTGGTGCTGTTACTCGTCCTCCCAACCTCTCCATTATCTCTGAGTTCCTGCCAAGGTTTGTGTCATCATTTTTTTTTGTGTGAGATTCAATCCCATGTGAGATGCTTAAACTCTCAAAGATTCTAACATAATTTTTCCCTTTAGAGGAAGCTTGTACCGGATTCTTCATCGACCTAATTCTCAAATCGATGAGCAACGCAGAATTAAAATGGCTCTTGATGTGGTAAAAAAATCAACCCATACGATATCCTCCCTCCCTGGTGTTGCTAATAAAGGTTATCATGAGGTCCAGATTTTTGTTACTTTTCAGGCAATGGGAATGAATTGCTTACACACCAGTACACCGACAATTGTTCACCGTGATTTAAAATCTCCGAATCTTTTGGTTGATAATAACTGGAATGTCAAGGTAACAACTACACGAGCTTTTTAACTATTTATCGAACTAAGATATGATTTTTTTTGTTGCTCCGCCATAAGACCCGCATTATTGTATGGTAGCGAATGTTGGGCGGCGAAAGGGCAACATGTCTAAAATGAGTGTGGCCGAGATGAAAATGTTGAGATGGATGTGCGGACACAAAAGGATGGATAGAATTAGAAATGAGATTAATAGAGAGAGAATAGGAGTAATACGTATCAAAGAGAAGGTACGAGAGGGGCGTTTAAGATGGTTTGGACATGTACAACGTAAGCCGATAGATGCGCCGGTTAGAAAAGTGGAGAGTATAGGTGTAGGGGTGAGAAGGAAAGGAAGAGGTAGACCGACTTACTTGGGAGCGTGTCATTAGAAACGATTTGGAAGTGTTGTAGATTCCGAAAGAGCTAACCCGGGATCGAAATGAGTGGAGAAGAAGGATTCATGAGGCCGACCCCAAATGAACTTGGAATGAGGCGATGTTGTTGTTGTTGTTGTTGTTGCTCCAATTGAATTGTTAGATTTACACTGAACCTTGCAGGTTTGTGATTTTGGATTGTCTCGCTTGAAACACAACACTTTTTTGTCCTCAAAATCAACTGCTGGAACGGTGAGAACGCATGATTCTTGTCCTTCTCTTGTGTTACTGGATTTTGCAAATCTATCTCTGTCGGTATCTTTCTTATTGCATACTTTCTTAATTTGCTAGCCCGAGTGGATGGCTCCTGAAGTTCTACGCAATGAGCCCTCAAACGAGAAGTAAGTAGTCTTTTAGTTATGTACTTAACTCGCCTTCACAAAGTCCAAGCTACTCTGTACCCATCATTTCTCTGATATCTCCTACATTTGTTTGAATATGAAAAGAGTGAAAATCAGAACTAGAAAAGTAGCCTAGAATTTTATCACCACTTGTCTGTGCATTTCTTTATCGATCTTAGATTTTGTTGGATTTCTGAATTGATAAATTCCTATCTGATTTTTCCACAGGTGTGATGTATATAGTTTTGGTGTAATTCTTTGGGAACTTGCAACTATGAGATTGCCTTGGCATGGTATGAATCCAATGCAAGTTGTTGGAGCAGTTGGTTTCCAAAAGCGCCGCCTCGAGATCCCGAAGGAAGTCGATCCCGTGGTCGGGAGGATCATTTGGGAATGCTGGCAAACGTAAGTCCAATCCAGAGTAAAAAACAATTTTGTATACTCAATCATCCTTGCACTCGCTGCCTTTGAGAAAAAATAAAAATTAAACCAAAATAACTCAAATTTCTATTCCAAAATGACATTAAAATTTCAACTCTTAGAATTTACGAGGAAATATGTCTCCAACTTCTTGCTTCTTCAGAGTGTTTAAAAAGCAGCAAAATAATTGTAGGAAAAAAAAGGGCCTAACCTCTTATTTTGATATTATATCGCCTGTCACTTGGATAAGCCGAAACTTTGGTTGATTCGATAGAAGAGTTGCCTGTTCATGACTTTATTTTGATATTATTTCCTTGTCTCGTTATTTGTTTTGGGCAGTGAACCAAATCTGAGGCCATCCTTTGCTCAGCTAACGGAAGCTCTGAAGCCTTTGGAGCGGCTCGTGGTTCCTTCACATGCAACTGACCAACTGAACCAAACTCTCCCATCGTCTTCCTGATAGGTCTCGAGAACTCTCTCCCCTTTTAGTTCCATCTCAATTGTGCATATCTTGGACGGGCGACCATTTTCTCGATCGTTAATATTTCGTTTCCGAAACCACGCCCGGAACTTACAGGAAGAAAGGTTGTATAATCAAAATCATAATCATCGTCTTTTTGATGCTGCTATAGGAGAAAAAGCTGGGCGTCTCTGCTGTACATTTTTACCCCCTTTGTTCTTTGTCACAAGCCATGTGTTTTGCGTTTAGAGGTTTCATGCATATATATATAAAAAGCCTCGAGATTGGCTTCAGACTGAATATTTTCTGGGTAATGAATCCATGTTAAACGTGGTTTTACGAGTAACTGGCATCAAGGATCAGTGACTTCTATGGAGACCGCAAGCCGATTACTACGGTAAAGTTGAATTTACTCGAGAATAGGATTTGGAAAGAGTATTACCTTTGTTGCTAACTGTTCTTGTTATGTATCGATACTGTTGTTAACGGTATCGATCTCATTTGCTTTCTACGCGGCGCTCTTCGTTTTCACTCGCCTTTATTCCCCGATTCTCGACAGGTGAACTGCCATGGTTTGGACAGAACAAGAATGTGATTCTCTCTATTTTTCTTATATGCTTTTCACAGTGGAAGAATTTGATTCCCATGGAGAAAGGACACCTTGGGTTGCACTATATAAAGAGAGAGGACGTTGGTTTTTCTTTTTTCTTTGTATCCTTGAACGTTGAAAACTGCATTTCTAATAAACAAAACCTGAAAAAGGATGGAGGGCTCCCACCACGGCAGGAAGAGCCGTTTCGGGTTTTCCAATCATGGCCATGGAACTGAATACGTCGTTACAAAGATCGAGAAGTCGGTTCGTTCCGTAGAGAAATCTATACATTCGGTTTTAGATCATAAGCAACCGGGGAGATTGGCTTCAATGGAGCTCGATCACAATCACAAGGCTCATCACAGAGACAAAGCTGAGGAAGAAGGAAGACCAAAGTTCAAGATAGCAAAATGGAACTTGGGGAACAAGTTAGGGTATAAGAACGATGGTAAACCTGACGTGGAGAAGAAGGAACCACCGGCTATGATCAACGATGGAGGATGGGTCAGGCCGAATCGAGCGATGTGGGCTTCACCACCCACTGGCTCCCATGAGCACAACATTGAAGATGCACTAGACTATCTCAGACAAACCGGTCGTTCCGGTTCCAGGTCAAGAGCCTCGGTTAAGCCTAGGTCGGATGTCAAGCACTTGCCAAGCGATGTTCGAGAGGCACTGGATCATATGAGACAACCCGGTTCAGCGGCAACCGATAACTCTGGTTACCGGTTTTCCGTTGCGGTTCCGGCTAAGAAGTAAAAGGAGTTGTGTCGATGAATACGTAGAGTAGTGAATTATGGGTTTGTTAGTTTATGTATGGAATTATATATCGTAGAAGTACAATACATATATACATATATATATATATAAAGGCAATATATAAAAATAAACCTTGGTTACGTTTACACCAGGATTTAGTTAACTAGTACAACTTTTGTACCGATTTTCTTTAAAACTATTTCGAAAATTTATTGAATTTTTAATCTAATTATATATATCTGGTAGAGGATTGAAAAAATCCATTCGAATTACACTTTCCAAATTGAGACTCGAATTTGGATCGACTTAAGCCGACCAATTTTATGTAAACACAATGAACTTATATCATTTAAAGCAAATAATATATTGGCCAACTTATCAAATGATAAATTTGTATAGTGAAAATTATGTAAACAAATCCAATATAATAAAACAACTCTAAATAGGAGATATAATAATATATATAAAAGATTGTTAAAAATTTAATTAAAAACATTACACTTATTAAACAAATTATAATAAATAGTATATCAAATGAGTTGTAGAACAAAGTTGATCGATAGCATGAAGGGGGTCTCCGCATCCCTGCCTACGCGACACCTAAAAAAGGTATGACGTGTGACAATGAAGAGGAATGACACATTTCTACGCTACATCACTAAAAATATCACATCGACGAACATTAAAATTTTAAAAAATTAAAACATAAATACATATATAGTATATACACACACATACACATACATGCATATACACATTTTTCTTTTCATTTTTACCCCAATTACCAAATTTTACTCGACGAATCGGTGAAATAAGTTTGAAATACACAAATATTGTGAGAAAATAACGGGGAGACTAATGACCAAAAACATTATGATTCACCAAAAAAAAAAACGTTATGTCATTTTGATTATTTTTAAACAAAGATTCGAAAACAGATTTTGTTTACTATAGAGAAAAATTCTGACGTTTTTGCATAGAATGACATTTTATATTAATGGAAAAAATAATTTCATTCGAGATATCTGAACAATTCAGGAATAAACGGACGGGTAGCTCGAAAAAACGGACGGGTAGCCCGTTTTTTCTGAGCAGTTCGGAAATAACGAAAAATCACGATCGTTAGGAAAATATTTCCGATTTCTTCACACCTTTCGACATTTGGAGTGTTTATAAACACCTCTGGACATCCTAACATAATAGAGAACAGATCTAGTTCGTTTTTTGAGAGATTTGAGAGCACTTTTGTGATTGTTCTTGCAAAACACTCACAAAAGCTTTTTGTTCATCTTCTTCTTACGGTTTCTTGTGTTTGTGATCTTAGGAGAGTAAACTAAGATCGCTTTTCTCTTCATTGTATCTCAAAAATGTATTCCGGGAAGTCCTTTGCTCATATAGGACGGAACAACGCTTTTAGGAAAATGTATCACGTCTTGAAGAGTTATCCGGTTCTCGATTTACTTTTTTTGTTCATTTTATATCCCAGATTTTCTAACAATCTAAAAACGTTATCCATTCGAGGATGACTACTTCGGTGAGAGATCTTACAATAGACTTTCACAAACTTGACAAGTTCGAGGGCGTGGGATTTCAAAGGTGGTAGAAGAAGATGCATTCCTCCTGACGACGCTGAAAGTCATCTACGTGATAAGCACTCCTAGACCGAAAGAAACCGAAGAGGAGACATTGGTTGCGGCTCGCGTGCAAAACAAATGGGACAACGATAACTACGTGTGTTGCGACCACATCCTTAACGGTATGTCTGATGAACTTTTTGATGTATATCAACACATAGATACCGTCAAAGCCCTGTGGGATTCGCTGGAGGCTAAATACGTCTCAGACGATGCCTCTAGCAAGAGATTTCTTGTAAGTAGTTTCAACTCTTACAAGATGGTGGACTCGAGATCGGTCATGGAGCAATTCCATGAACTACAAAGGATCTTGAGTCAATTCGTACAATACAAACTGCAGATGGATGAAGCCATCAAAGTTTCATCTATTGTTGACAAACTTCCACCGAGTTGGAAGGATGTCAAGCGTTCCCTGAAACACAAAAAAGACGATATGTCTCTTGAACAGTTGGGAACATATCTTCGCATCGAGGAGGATCTCCGAGTGCAAGATGGAAAAGGCGCTTCTCCTCCTACTATAGTGAATGTTGTAGAGGATGAGAAACGTGGAGCCAAAAGACAAGGAAAGAAACCCTCCAAAAGCAATCCTAAGAAGAAGTCAAAGTCGAGTGCGATTTGTTGGTTTTGCAATAAACCGGGGTACTTCAAACGGGATTGCTACTCGTGGAAGAATAAACACGAGAAGAAGAGTGCTCATGGTCAAGGAAACAAAGCCCTTGATCAATCCACTCAAGGTAACAATAGTTGTTACTTGACGAATTCGGATATGAATTTTGATGCTATGATTTACGAGTTAAATCATGTTCAGGAGGGTGACCAATTATGGTGGATCGATTCGGGAGCAATTAACTCGACATATTTGTAAAGAATGTGAGCTCTTCAAGACTCTAGAAACCGTAGAAGACGGAAGCGTTCTTTACATGGGAAACAACTCGACGGTCAAGGTCCAAAGAAAGGGGCAAGTAGAGTTGTTGCTTACATTCGGAAAGACATTAACCTTTAGGAAAGTTCTTTTTGCTCCGGATGTAAGGAGAAATATAGTGTCGGGTTGTGTACTTAATCGATTTGGCTACAAGATGGTCTTTGAGGCTGATAAGTTTATCCTCTCTAAAGGAGGAGCGTTTGTGGGGCAGGGTTAAGTTTGCATTTCTTCTTTGTATGTTGTTGATCCAAATGTTTCTACATTATGGCATGCTAGATTAGGACATGTTCACTATAAACGGATAAATCTTATGTCAAAGATGGACTTAATTCCACCATGTGCCATGAACGAAGATAAGTGTATAACTTGCATGAAAACGAAAATAACTCGTAATTCGTTTGCTAGCGTAGAACGGAGTTCAGAACTTTTAGAGTTAGTTCATAGTGACTTATGTGATTTGCATGGAACTCCGTCTCTAGGTAACAAGTGACTTTTATTGAAGACTCCACACGTTATTGCTATGTATTTTTGTTGCATGCTAAAGATGAAGCTCTAGATAGGTTTAGGGCATACAAATCCGAAGTTGAGTTACAACTCGGGGTTAAGTTCAAGAAGCTTAGGACTGATAGGGGAGGGGAATACTATGATCCAACATATTTCGAATCTGTAGGAGTGATTCATGAGACCCCCGCACCATACACACCGCAACAAAACGGTGTAGCGGAAAGGAAAAATAGGGTCTTGAAAGAAAGGGTTAATTCCATGCTTTCATATTCGGGGTTAAGCGAGAGATTTTGGGGTGAAGCCATGTTAACGGCTTGTTATATTTTAAACCGAGTTCCATTGAAAAGGAACAAGATTACCCCATATGAACTATGGTACAAGAGAAAACCAAATCTGAATTATTTTCGGATTTGGGGTTGTCGGACAATTGTAAAAGTCTCAGAACCAAAGAGAAAGACTTTGGGTGATCGAGGAGTAGAATGCATCTTCATAGGTTATGCTTTACATAGCAAAGTTTATAGGGTCTATGTCATAGAGCCAAACGACTACATTACCGTTCACACGGTTATTGAGTCGAGAGATGCATTGTTCGACGAAAGTCGATTTTCTTCGGTGGATAAACCACTTATTTCTGTACCTAGTTCGAGTAGTCGAGCAATCGATCAAGATAACGGACAACGTGAACCTCGTAGAGGTAAACGAATAAGGAAAGAGAAATCATTTGGTCCGGACTTTCAGATGTATTTAGTGGAAGGTACAAACGAGTCGATAGTGACTCAACTTGCTTACGTCTATAATATCGAGGAAGATCCTAGAACGTTCGATGAAGCGATGAAATCACGAGATGTCGCATTCTGGAAAGAAGCGATAAATGATGAGATGGATTCCATCATGAGTAACAACACATAGGTCTTAGTAGATCCTCCTCCGGGTTGTAAACCTATTGGTTGCAAATGGATCTTCAAAAAAAAGATGAGAGTCGATGGAACTATTGATAAGTTCAAGGCTCGTCTAGTATCTCAAGGCTTTAGACAAAAACAAGGTATCGATTTCTTCGATACATATGCATCGGTAGCTAGAATAACTACAATTAGATTGTTGATCTCCTTGCATCAATAAACAATCTTGTAATTCACCAAAAGGATGTCAAGACGGTATTTCTAAACGGTGAGCTTGAAGAGGAGGTGTATATGAAGCAACCGGAAGGTTTCATCTTATCGGATCAAGCACCAAAGTGTGTAAATTAGTCAAATCATTGTATGGGTTGAAACAAGCACCCAAACAATGACATTTAAAATTTGATGATGTGGTATTGGCTAACGGGTTTCGTCTGAATCAATCGGACAAATGCGTATATAGCAAGTTTGACGAGAATGGTCATGGAGTTATCATTTGCTTATACGTGGATGACATGCTCATATTCGGTACAGAATTAGAGTAAATCAAGAAAACAAAAGAATTCTTGTCATCGAAATTTTCGATGAAAGATCTAGAAGAGGCGGATGTTATCCTTGGAATTAGGATAATAAGAGATCACGGTAGTGTTGGGATTTCTGGGATCTCTAGAGCGAATCCTATTCCTAAGAGATCGATTCTAGGGTTTCCGCAGCGGATGTAAAACAAAAATTTAATAAACCCTAAAACCATGCTTCTATGAATCGTAGAAACGTTAAACTTGCTAGAGATCCCAGGAATGTATTCCGGGAAGTCCTTTGCTCATATAGGAAGTCCTTTGATCTAGAAGAGGCGGATGTTATCTCTTCATTGTATCTCAAAAATGTATTCCGAGAAGTCCTTTGCTCATATAGGACGGAACAACGTTTTTAAGAAAGTGTATCACGTCTTGAAGAGATCCGATTCCCAATTTACTTTTTTTTATTCATTTTATATCCCAAATTTTCTAACAATCTTTTATTTATTTTTATTTTTATTTACAAGATCTCCATTTATTTTTTGCTCGTATATATGAGTTGAACCGAAATATATACGAAGGCTTGTCTAAGTGGCAAAATATGCGAAATATTTGTAAATATTTTGTAATTTGGATTGTCCATGAAAACTTATATGTTTCCAAGTTGCACCTAAATATTATTAAAATTTCAATACATATATTTTTTTGTTATAATCATGTAATTAATTATTTTGAAGAAAAAAGCATTCTTCCATCTTTTTAATGGTAAAAATCTACCTTCATAAAAATAGTAAGAGATCACCGAAAATTATGATTGACACAATATTTTTAGACTAAGTTCATAAAATCTTTATAGATTAATTCTAAATAAGATAAATTTATAGAATACACTAAATTTACATATTTAAAAATATATCTAGAATAATCGTTCACATTCTTTTCTTTTTTTTAGTGAAAGTATTATATTCCATTAATCTAGAATTCAGAATTTATTCAGTTCCAATAAATTCCAGAAAACAAAGATAGATGGAGAAAGTATGTGATACTCATAGAAAATATATATATATATATACTAAACAGAGATATATTTCTAGTGGAAGGCAACAAAACATGTCATCCGTATGGCCTAACCATTCAAAAGCCATCGAAAGCAGACAAAACTAATTATGCATAAAATAAAATTAACAACATATAAACAAAAAACAAATAAGAACAACATTCAGACTTCACTTTCACCCTTTCCCGTGCTTTTGATATTTTCAGAACATATTTTTTTTTTCCTTTCTACACTATTAAAGACTGACAGGATAAAAAAAAAGCCAAATATTTCGATTTTCTCGAAATAAATATTTACCATCTCGATTTCTTTTATCTTATTTTTGGAAATGCATATTAAATTCTTCCGACTTTTCACAATAAAATTTAAATAATATCAATTGTTTTAGATGAAAATATTTTTTATATAAAAATTAATTTAGATAAGAAATAGTATCTGAATGGTTGTTGTTTGACGAGAAAATGATAAATTACAAAAATATTTGTAAAAAATCTACAAGTATAAATTTTGTATCTAGCAAAAATATTATAATTAAAAGAGAGATTTAATTCTCTGTTGGGTTTTAAAGTATTGTTTTATTCAGTATAATTTAGTATTAAAATTTATTTCTAAAAATAAAACAGTAATGTCAATTTGTTCATTACAGTCAGTTCACTGTAATAAATTTATAATCTAAATAATATTTGCAATTTAACGTTAGAATAATTTATCCCAAAAAAAAAATGAGCTGAAGAAGCAGATGCTCGCAAGAAAAAAGTTAGAAATTTCACAAGCGAATTCTTCCTCTCCTTCGGCATTTCTCTCTTGGAGTGTTTTAGCAAACATCCTTTTCTTTATTCCCGGAATTTATGGAAGTAATTTAATTTTTTTGTACGAGAAAATCTTTATTATTGTTGTTTTTGTTAATCGTCAAAATATCGAAATAAAAATGTTTTGTGAACCTTCGCTGGTCTCCTCTTCGAGTATTTTTGTCTGAATTCACTGAATTTTCTAAAAGTCGGTCTCTCTCTCTCTCTGGTTAGTGAACATCTTGGATTTGGACAAAAGTTCAGTTTCCTCCGTCTGAAATTCATACTGAACTTTTCTTGGGTTTCGTTTTCGCCGTCGCTTTACACAGGACAAGGCAATGGCAACATGTTCAAGCCTCTCGGTCCTGTCCAAATTTAGATCGAATTCCGGCCATAAGCTCAGTTTCAGAGTAAGAGCTCAGGTTTCTGGAGATGAACGCAAGACGGCGGTCGGGTTTCCCGGTTCGATGGAACCGGTTAACGGTTCGATTTCCCTGGGGCGCGATAAACACCAAGTGGGTAGTGACGGTTTAGCTGATGAAGTGAATGGGAAGGTGAAATTCGAGAAGAAGACTGCGAAAGATGAAGCTTTTTCAGAAATGGAGCTCTTGTGGGATGATGGGTATGGTTCAAAGACTGTGAAGGATTACTTCCTCGCGGCTAAAAAGATCATTACAAGTGATGGCGGACCTCCACGGTGGTTTATCCCGGAGGATTGTGACCGCCCGATCAAAGATGCTCCTACTCTCATGTTCTTGCCAGGTAGAGTGATGGATTGGCTTAAGCTTTAGGATCATTGTGTTGCTCTGTCTTGGATTCATGGATAGATACTTGAGGTTGCTTTGCTTGTTAGCTTTGGATTGTGAAATTTGTTTGGTTATTCATATAACTTTCATAAATTATCTCTGTATGTGGTGTAAATTTTGGTGTGGAAGTGAAAATGAAGTTGGTAACTTGTATCAGGAAGTACCTCAGCTCCTGAGTTCAAAGCTTTGAACATTTACTTGCAGTTCATTAGAAAGGCTGATAACACTTGTGGATTTCACTTTCTCTAGGGCTTGATGGAACAGGGCTGGGCCTCATTCTGCATCACAAAGCTCTGGGGAAGTAAGCTATACTATTCCTTTGTACCGTCTGAGTTCTCTGTAACATTATTACCAAATTATCGATGAGTCAAGTAGGAGTAGAGATACCCACATGAATCCTTAGAGCAGAAGCGACTTGAGTTGGTGGTTGAGTTTCCAAACCGGTACCCGCTGACTCTCTGAGTTCTGATTTAACCTAGAACTAGAATCTCTGTTTCTACAATGTGCAATGAATGGTGTATGTACATGTGATATTGATTATATATTACAATTAACATGATTCTTCCTCGGTGAGGGTACACCAGATTTTCAGCTTGCAATTTGTTTTAACTAATCCCCACATATTCAGCATCTATTGGATTTCTGTCCCTTGGTTATAAACTTAAACTGAACTGTTTTACCACATAGCAAACTAAGAGCATCATCAAGTTTGTAGGGTTTCGTGGAGGTTTGAAAATGCGAAGGATTTGGTTCCATAGGTGTTATATCCTTACACGTGAAATTGCATGTAACAATCCGAACACTCTCACGTTTTGCACGAGTGCACCGTGGTGAATCTTTGTTGTATCTCTATAATGCTAAGGCTGTGATGGAACCCACACAATCATTTAGGTTTCAATCTCTTGTTCTGGTTGATGTCTAACACTTAGGTATATAATTAGTCTCACGTGTTTTCTTTCGAGCATAGCTTGTGAGTTTTTTTTTTCTGAGACAGGGCTTTTCATCTCCGGTGCCTTCATATTCCTGTCAACGATCGAACTCCATTTGATGGTAATATATGGTTACACAGATGCTTGATAGAGTTCCACTTACGTAAAAACTGAAAGTCATAAACACATATGGTTGCACAGATACATATCTATGGCCATTCAAGGCCATAATAGAGCATGATTTTTCATGTTTGATATGAATATACATAGATATTGCGTACACACAAGAACAATTGCTGCCGTTGTGAATAACCAAGTTCCAATGATAAAGTCTCTAGAGCATTTGGTATTTGAAAACAAATACAAGATTGTAATTATATAATTGACATCTGATATTTGGAACAAGAGAGATTTGATTTATACTCGGCATCAAAGGATTTAAACCAAAGAAGAAGACATCAGAACTATGTATACTGTTACTTCCTTAGGGCCCTCTTCTCATCTATTTCCTACTTCCGGATGCTTTTGATGGCTCGAGTCTTGCCCAGTCACTTGTATCTGAATGACACATATATAAAACGGACATGGATAGATACAATACCCTTATGAGGTGTACAACATTACGTCTCATCGTTTTTTTACTTAATGTAAGGCTTGCGCCCCTTTTCGTGTATTCTGGTTATGCTGTTATAATATGTTTTGTTTTTTTGTTTTTGGAAAATTATGTCATAAAGGGCTCGTGAAATTAGTCGAGGATGCTTTGAGACGGGAGCATGCTTCAAGTCCAGATAAGCCTATTTATCTTCTGGGAGATTCCTTTGGAGGATGCTTGGCTCTTGCCGTTGCTGCGAGAAATCCTCACATCGACATAGTGCTGATACTAGTCAATCCAGGTAAGTAAATTTTTTTTTTTAGTTTATCGACATGTATGTAAATACACGCATGCATATATGTTTTATCCGGTTCATAGACACGCATGCATATATCGTTTTTGGCATAACAACTGTTCTGCTATTCATGATTTATACTGATTTTCTCAGCGACATCATTTGAGAGGTCACAGCTACAACCACTGCTGCCCATATTAGAGTTGTTGCCAGAAGAACTGCACTTTACTGTTCCATATGCTCTAAGCTTTGTTATGGGTACATGCACTTACGCTCATTCTATGAATATATGATTCTTTTGTGGATCCATGTTATATTCTCGGTAAAAATATCTTCATTTATGGTTTTCTTGGTATCAGGTGACCCGTTAAAGATGGCATCGGTTGATATCAACACTGAACTTCCAACAGGAATAAGATTGCAACTGCTGAGAGAAAAACTCAGTTCATTGCTTCCTTTTCTCTCTGTAAGTTTTGCTCTTATGCGTATGCAGGATCTGAGTTACTAGGTCCTAGTTCTTTACCAGACTGCACATCTTTTTTTTTGGTCGCTTTTAGGTGCTTGGTGAAATTGTTCCGAAAGAAACCCTTCTTTGGAAGCTTAAGTTGCTGAGGACTGGCGCTGCTTATGCCAATTCTCGCCTCCATGCTGTTAAAGCTGAAGTTCTGGTTCTTGCTAGGTCTCTTCTTCTCTCCTAATCACCACGTTTCTTAATTTCTATTCTTATATGATTGGTATATCATCAGGAACTAATAAAATTTGTAGGATTTCACAATTGATTAGATTTTATAAACTTTCAGTGGAAAGGACAATATGCTTCCTAGCCAAGAAGAAGCAATGCGGCTTCATGGGTTATTCAAAAACTGCACGGTTCGAGTCTTCAAAGACAACGGGCATACCCTTTTACTGGTAAATGAAAATCAATGATTTGCTTCTTAATCATCTGTTAACGTTTGCATGCATGTCCATGTGGGCAAGTGTTCTTCTTTTGCTCTTACTGAGATCTGAGCTAGATACCATTCTGTCTGAAAGACAATCTTGTATAAGAACAAAACAAGGCATAAGGGTAAATCTTGAATTTTGACATGTTTTTCCTTTCTACTTTGGAACCAGGAAGACAGCGTCAGCTTGCTCACTGTTATTAAAGGTACATGCAAATACCGCCGCTCCAGGAGAGTTGATTATGTCTCAGACTTTTTGCTTCCGAGTAAGGGAGAATTTGAATATGCGACTAACCGGATAGTCGGGTAACATTGCTTAGCCATTCTTCCAGTGTTTTACGTTTTTGCTTTTTCCGAGGATTAAGATCGTTTGATTTCTTGAAGTTTGGGGGTTTTGTTTGGCATAAATGACTGTTACAGATATCATATTTTCATTATTAACAGGAGAAAGCATTCTTTTCACGAGAGTAAGAAATCGTGGGACAGAATGGATGACTTGGCTTTTATGATATATCTCGAATTCATTTCAAAACAATTGAAATGCGTTAACCTACAAATGTAAAACATGTTATTGCATATCACCCAAATCGGTGTCTCACCATTCTGGTTTTCCAACTGCACTAAAGAAACATAGATGTCCAGACGAGGGTAGTTAAAGGAAAAGAAATAGAGTTTCTTGTCAACTAACCGAGAAGGGAAAAAAGTTAAGGGTAGACATGAATTTAATTAAGCAGAGTTCTCCTTTTCCTTTAGCTGAAACATTACCTCCAAAATAGGCTCTATCAGATTCTATGGTTGACCGTACCTGTTCTCCGTGTTTCTTGTAACAAACAGGTTCTTACGCTATGCTGTTGGCTCTGTAATGTTCTCAACTATGGAAGATGGAAGAATAGTGAAGGGTCTGGCTGGAGTTCCCGATGAAGGTCCTGTCTTACTTGTTGGTTATCACATGTTGATGGGGTTGGAACTTGGCCCGATGTCTGGGGCATTTGTGAGAGAGAAAAGAATTCTCTTCCGTGGTATGGCACATCCTGTATTGTACTCGGAAAACGAGTCATCTAAAGATTTTGGTTACGTCGACTGGTTCAAGGTATTTGGTGCATACCCTGTCACGCCGAGCAATCTTTACAAGCTGCTAGCTTCGAAATCTCATGTCCTTCTCTATCCGGGTGGTGCACGTGAGGCTCTCCATTATCGGGTTTGCCATTTTCCCTAATCTTCTTTAAGGCTGTGGAATACAATATACAGAAAGCTCCAAGGAAACTTCAATTTTCAATTTTTTTTTAATTCGGATTGAAAACCCCAAATATAGCATTCATCGCTCTTAGACCCGAAAACTGTTGCCTGTTGGTGCCGCTAAAAAAACCAATTTCCAGTGCGAGTTTTTTTCTTAACGGGAAGTCGAAGACACAGAAATAAGGTTGTTGTTTGTTTAACATTAGACAAGTGCAAGGTCCTTATGTACATTGCCCTCCACATGAATATGATACTTGGAGTAGTAAGTTTATACATTGCTGAAGATAGGGTAGTCACATATTTTATAGATAGAAACTATCACACACCGAATCCTTCTTTCGCAATGTTGGAAAAGGAATTCATTGTCACCGCTTGAATAAACTTCGTCGTATGCCTCGTATGTTATGGACCACCTATTATGCCATGCACATCACTATTCGGAAGTTTAAAAACTGTGCTTTGCTTCAAATTCGCAGAAGATCGATCCCTGGTATCTGAGATATGGGATATATCCATTTCTAATAAGTAGATGAGGATTACAAAATCAATGAAATCTTTGTTTTAAGGTAGGATAGTATTCTAAATGTCTCGAGTAATTGTGACACTTTTGCAGGGCGAAGAATACAAGTTAATTTGGCCTGAGCACCAAGAGTTTGTGAGAATGGCAGCACGGTTTGGGGCAACAATAGTGCCGTTTGGAACTGTTGGAGAAGATGACATAGCTGAGGTAAGCTGCATCAAAGCACAACTTGTTAAGTCTTTCTGTTCTCAAAGCTGACAATAGGATAAATAATCATGGCTGTATTTCAATTTCTTGTTGGCTTATATTGAAATACGGTAACGATGTTTACTTGTGGGTCTTGCAGTTGGTTCTGGATTACAATGACCTGATGAAGATTCCCTTTATCAATAACTACGTCAGTGAAGCAGCTCGTGATGCCTCGAGATTCAGATTGAGGTAATTCCTCTTGATCTATAGCTTAAACACAAAGCACATACTGCACAAGGATGCTACGGATGATGGGATTTATGATTTTAGAAAAGGAAAAAACGGGGCGACAAACTTTATTGAAACCTAAGAAAAGAAACAAGGGTCCCAAAGAGTACCTGTCCGACAAGTGGAGTTCCTTTGTCCCTGGGCTAAGCTTACAAGATTACCTTAGGAATTTGTCCAAATCTTACTGTATTTATAGTGAAAGCTTAGACAGCAGAAACAGGAAATATTATAAGCCAGGAGCAGTAATCATGCTCCATCAAACGTCACCTCCCTAGTCATATGCCTAAATGGAATTGCATTCCTTTAATCATTCCTCTATCTATAGCATAAGATCTCTCAGCCCTTGGTCTCTATCAGAATACTGAACCAAGATGTTAATATGGTTCGGATAGGTAGGTATCTGATAGAGACAAACTGCTGAGAGACCTTATGCCCTCGACGGGCATTTTATGGAATCTTGCTTTAGCTGTCTTCGGAAAGGGAAAACAACTCCACCGGGGCGGGTAATGGATGGGTCTCAGTGGTTTTCCCCTGAACCATCATAGTGTACTTACCACATCAGTAACGGGCAGAAACCCATTTCGTATGTAAATATATATCTCTAGACGTGAACGGTATACGGGCTGAATTCGATCATATACTCAGTATGGTTATAGTTCCAGTCATCGAAGCAGAATCACGAATCATTGTGGTGTATTTTCAGAACGTTTTTTCTGAAGTTGCGTTAAATCACAGGGATGAATCAAGCGGGGAAGTCGCAAACCAGCGGCTCTACTTACCGGGACTCTTACCGAAGATTCCAGGTCGGTTCTATTACCTGTTTGGGAAACCAATACACACAAAGGGAAGAGAGGACCTGGTGAAAGACAAAGAAGCAGCAAACAACTTGTACTTGCACGTAAAAGCAGAGGTGGAGAGAAGCATATCGTACTTGTTGAAGAAACGAGAGGAGGATCCGTACAGAAGTATCATAGACAGAGTAGCGTACAGTGTGGCTCACACCCCTGCAGTTGATGTCCCTTCGTTCGAGCCATGACCAAAGAGTAAGTTCATCACCAAGGTATCATATGAATTCTTTTTTTTTTTTTTGTTAAAGACCAACACTGTTATTTATTACCCATATTCATATATAGAAAAGGTACATGTACATGCTATTGTATTTGCTGTTCGATGTAAGTGCCATTGTGGGTCACTATGAATGGAAGGTTATGGGTTTCTAGTTCAAGATGAGTCTGGTTGTGCATTCACAAACCCGAGCTCAAACTCGCTGGGGCTCTCACGAGTGGCCATAAAAATCCGAGAATCGGGTATGGCAAGTATCCGACATGTGAAGCAGAGGTGGCTCAAGCTCAACGGAAACGAGAACCGGGGGAAAGCACCTGAATGAAGGGATATAAGAGGTTAACTGTGGGTAGAGGGGTAAAAACATGAGCTAGGTCATTAAAAACCGTTATGATCACGTGAAGTCGAGTTCTGTTTTGTATTCTGCAACCTCTTCGTGCGGTTTTATCATTCGGGTGATTTGGTCTCGAGGTTCTTGCATTGTGATCCGATAGTTCAGTGAATTTGCGGATTTCGAATCCGTTGAGATGTAAGTCGAGGAGCTCGTATGCGCATATTTCTGGTACAAGTGACATGGTGGTATCTTTGCATTTTAGGCGGAAATTTCTTCTGATACTCAGCACTCTGAAGGACTTTGTCCCCACAGAGGTCTAAAATCTCCAGCATCTTCGCATTTCATCCTATCATTAGATGACATCTTGTGGCAGAGAATTTTGATTGGAACGACTTCATAAGAATAGTTTGGAGTAGAAGTTACAGTTCCCTGCAAACATGTAAGGATGAGTTTCCATTTCATCATTTTGCTTCATGTGTTCTAAGATCTAACCTTTTCAGCATATACCACAACAACAAATTGGTTGTCACCATCATGGACGGTAATAAGCTACAGGACCTAAATGCCAGGAAAAGGGCACATAAAACGAAGCATGACAAAAGACAGAAAGCAATTAAAAAACCTCAAACTTAAGGGTGTACTTGTCGATTAGAGGAGACAGGTACTGGGAGATGTCTCTAGGTAGACAGATATCGAAGCATTTCAGAGGGCTCAAAGTCGACAGAAAGGACCTGATAAGAAAGTATGGTTATATGCTTCAACCAAGAGAATAAAACTATAATTTACACAAGATGATAGCTTCAAGGAAAGCAAACCTTGATGGCATTGTGATCCTTGATGTTATCGAGATCTCTTAGAAGAGAGATTTTGGCACCAATATTTAACTCCTGCACATCACTGAACTTACGACCAACAATAAAAGTATCAAGAACAAGGCCATGTGTGTCATCTATTTTAGGAGACACTGCCTCTCCAAGCACCTCATTATTTGGAGAAGATGGAGCATCAACCTTGCAGCAGATCGAGTCACTAGAACACGAATCATCATGCTCGACAGCTGCTTCAGCTAACTGTTGCTGTTCACATAAATCCGAAACATCAAAATTGACTTCCTTTTCAGGATTGTATTCGGGTCGGGTGGGAGTGACATTTAACTTTCGGAGCTGACCACAACTTGGACTGAAAAAGAGTGGTCTGACTTAACTTGCGTTTGGTCCCCTGGAGAGACACAAATCTGGAATCCAGTAGGAAATATGAATAGATTCATCAAGAGGGCTAGAAATCAAAATCCAAGGGTCCAAGGAAAACAGGAAATACCCAGATGGAGGTTGATCATGTGATCACCACCAAAGAGTTTATTCATACACACAGTGCAAGTCAAATCCTCATCTTTCGGGATAATATTCATCGATCTCTCAATAGCAGCAATAAGGATGCCATTTTCGTCGACCTCGAGATTCAAGGAGTTCTAACAGAAAGAGGTTGTGCACTTAACCGACAAATACTACAAAAATATCCTGATGGACTTCAACATGACTACATGCAAAAAAATCTCATCATAGTCAATACCATGAATCTGACGGAATCATTTCGCCACAAGTCATGCCTTATACGTGTGCACGTTGCCATCCATGTCTGTCTTCTTCTTGAAGATCCACTTGCATCCGATGGGTTTTACCCCTTCAGATGCATCAACCAGAGTCCATACTTGGTTGTCTGATATGGATTGCATCTCGGACTTCATAGCCTCGTGCCATTTCTCGCAGTCGGGACTCGTCATAGCCTCTGAGTATGTGGAAGACTGATCATGTTCTAATAACATGAGCTCCTCATTCCCAGTCACGAGAAAACCATATCTCACAGGCTCTTGGCAAATCCTGTCTGATCTCCGAGGTTCACTAGTCGAAGGTTGAGTCTCAACTGGCACTGATACAGGTTGAACGTCTTCAACTTATTCACTCGGCTCAGCGTCTACTTGTTGCTCTCGAACTTCCTCAAGTTCGATCCTACTCCCACTGACTCTTTTGGAGATGAACTCTTGCTCCATAAAAGTAGCATTCCTTGCAATAAACACTTTGTTATCTGCCAGAATGTAGAAGTGTAACCTTTAGTTTCCTTAGAGTAGCCTACAAATAAACAATTGTCAGATTTGGAGGATAACTTATCTGTCATCAGACGCTTCACGTAAGCGTCGCAACCCCAAATTCTGACAAACGAAAACGCAGGATGCTTCCCCGTCCATATCTCATATGGTGTCGTTTCAGCCGACTTCGTTGGACTCTTGTTCAGTAGGTACGCAGCGGTCTTTAAAGCATAACCCCAAAAAGACTTCGGAAGATCTGTCTGACTCATCATCGACCGAACCATGTCTAACAGTGTTCGGTTTCTCCGTTCAAACACGTCGTTCCATTGTGGCGTTCCAGGAGGAGTTAATTGTGATACAATACCACAATCAACCAGATAATCAGTGAACTCTTGGCTCAAATACTCGCCACCACGATCAGATCGAATTGTATTGATCGTCTTGCCAAGCTGGTTGTGTACTTCGTTTCTGAATGCCTTGAACATTTCAAGTGTTTCAGACTTATGTCTCATCAAATAGACATAACTGTATCGACTGAAATCATCAATGAACGTAACGAAATACAGATAACTTCCTCTAGCTGGATAACTCATTGGTCTGCATACATCACTATGTATGAGAGCCAATAACTCTGTCGCTCTCTATCATTTCCCCTTTAAAGGATGCTTTGTCATCTTGTCAATCAAACAAGACTCGCAAGACTCAAGAGACTCGAAGTCAAATGAGTCCAGAAGACCTTCATGATGAAGCTTCTGAATGCCTTTCTCGTTTATATGGCCTAAACGACAATGTCAGAGGAAGGTCGGGTTTAAGTAGTTCGGCTTAAACCGTTTAGCACTCACGTTATAGATGAATGATATCGAGTTCGAAGGCTGATCATTCAAGACGTATAAACCATTCACAAGAAAACCATTACCATAGTAAATATTGTCTCGATAAATCAGCAAACTCGAGTTCTCAATCACAAATCGAAAATCATCCAAATCCAGACATAAAATAGAAATAATGTTTCTGCTAATCGCAGGCACATAGTAACAATTACTTAATTCTAAAACAAGTCCAGAAGGAAGGTGCAAATCGTAAACGCCAACACACAATGTAGCAACTCTTGCTTCATTTCCGACGTGCAGATCCGCTTCTCCCACTACAAAAAAAATGGTCATTTCCAATGGGTAAATCCGTTGGAAATGGCCAAATTTCCGTTTCCAACGGATTTATCCGTTGAAATTTCGTCGTTAAAAATCGGTATCCATTGGAAAACCGTTGGAATTTTCAACAGAATTTCAACGAATTTTTCCGTTGGAATTTTCCAACGGATTTCCAACCGCAAACTCGGTTAGAAAATTCCAACGAAATTTTCAACCGCAATCCGTTGGAATTTTCCAACGGAATTTCCAACCGATATCCGTTGGAATTTTCCAACGGAATTTTCAACCGCATTCCGTTGGAATTTTCCAACGAAAAATTCGAAACATATTCCCGACTCCGACCCGACCAGACCACGATCCCGAAACTCACTTCCCAATAGGTCACCCATCCTTCCACTGCTCCAACTCAATCCTCCTTAACCCTGGAGTTCCAATTAGAAGTCATCCAACTCCTCCAAGTTAAACTTCTGATATCATATAACATTAATATATATACATATATAAATATTTATACATATTTACATATATACATATTCAAATTCATATATATATATATATATATATATTTGTTATGTATATATTTATATGGTTAATATATATACATATATATATTCGAATTCATATATATATATATATATATATATACCTCCTTAACATACATATATATATATTTTTATACGTATATATATCTCCTTAACATACATATATATATTTATACGTATATGTATATGTATATATATATATATTTAAATATACGAGTCTTTTATATATTTATACGTATATATCCGTTGGAATTCCGTTGGAATTTTTTTTAAAAATTTTCAAAAAAAATTCCAACCGGCATCCGTTGGAATTCGGTTGGAATTTTTTTTAAAAAAAATTCCAAAAAAAAATTCCTACCGGCATCTGTTGGAATTCCGTTGGAATTTTTTTTTTAAATTTCCAAAAAAATTTTCAACCGGCATCCGTTGGAATTGTTTTCTAACAAACATCCGTTGGAATTCCGTTAAAAATTTGCAACCGATTATTCCAACGTTAATCCGTTGAAAAGTTCCAACGGATATCCGTTGGAAATACCGTTGGAAATTTTCAACCCAATTTTTCAATTGAATACATTGAAAATTCCATTAAAAATTTCCAACGGGTGTTTCCAACGGATATCCGTTGGAAATTTTCAACGGAATTTTAACGGAAATCGACGTTGAAACGCCGTTGAAAACCGTTGGAAATCCTATTTCCAACGGACAAATCCGTTGGAAAATCCGTTGGAATTCGAGGATTTTTTTGTAGTGTTCTTTCACCAGCATCCTACTTCTTCTTAGTCCCTGCACATTTCCACAAATGTGTGAGGCACTGACGGTATCCAATACCCACGAAGATGTAGTACAGATGTTAGTTTCTATAAAATGAATACCTGAACCAGAAGCTTCATCAAGCTTCTTGTCCTTCAGATCCTCCAAGTAAAGGTGACATTTATGCTACCAGTATCCAGACACTCCACAGTAATGACAGTCATCCTTATCGGACTTAGGTTTAGGCGTAGGGGCAACTTTTGCCTTCTTTGTCACCTTCTTTTTCGCTTTACCCCACCACTTCTTTCTGG